ATCCAACTGTCCAAAAATATTCAATTTATTTTAAAATAGTCCCATTTTTTATTAACAACAAATAAATAATTAATAAAATCAAATAAATAAAAGAANAGGTTTCAATTTTTTGGGTGACTTCAATTCACTCGATCAAAGAAATCCAACTGTCCAAAAATATTCAATTTTTTTTAAAATAGTCCCATTTTTTATTAACAACAAATAAATAATTAATAAAATCAAATAAATAAAAGAATTGTAAATAATGTTTCCAACTATTTGGTATGGTTATAACTTTTTTTGGATTAAGTTTCAATTTTTTAAGTGAGTCGGATTAGCTAGATAAAAAAAATGTCCAAAAATATTTAATATTTTATAAATAGTCTCATTTCTCATTAACAACAAATAATTAAAAGAATTGTAAATAATGCTTCCAACTAGGTTATAACTTTTTTTGGATTGGATTTCAATTTTTTGGGGTGACTCCGATTAGCTAGATCAAAAAAATCTCAATCCAAAAATATTCAATATTTTATAAATAGTCCCATTTTATATTAAGAACAAATAAATAATGAATAAAATCAAACAATTACAATAATTATAAATAATACTTCCAACTATTTGGATCAGGGTTATAATATTTTTTGATTGGGTTCCAATTTTTTTCATAGAGGTTCTAACTCTTAAGGGAGAGTTCTAACTTTTTTGAGGTTCCAACTAGGTTCAAATAGTTGGGGGAGGGTTCCAATTTTTTTGGGTAAAAGTTTTAACTTTTTTGGATAAAGGTTACAACTCGATAGGGTTCTAACTTTTTTTGATAGGGTTTCAACTTTTTTAGTTATAAGTTCCAACTTTTTTTGGTAGGATTCTAACTTTTTGGGTAGAGGTTCCAACTTTTTTGGGTAGGGTTTTCAACTTTTTTGATAGGTTTCCAACTTCTTTGGTTAGGGGTTTCAAATTTTTTGGTAGGATTTCAACTTTTTGGCTCGAGGTTCCAAATCTTGAGGGGAGGGTTCCGACTCTTGGGGTGAGTTCTAATAGTTGGGGGAGGGTTTCAACTTTTTTGGGTAGAGGTTTCAAATTTTTTTGGTAGAGGTTCCAACTTTTTGGGGTTAGATTCCAATTTTTTTTGGTAAGAGTTCCAACTCTTCGGACAGGGGTTCCAACTTTTTTGGGTAGGTCTTCCAATTTTTTTTGGATGGGTTCTAATTTTTTTGATTAAGAGTTTCAACAATTTTAGGTAGGGGTTCCAACTCTTGGGGTAGTGTTCCAACTTTTTGGATTAAGGTTCCAACTCTTGTGGGGAGACTTCCAACTTTTTTGGAGAGGTTCCAACTTATGGGTGGGTTCTAACAGTTGGGGAAGAGTTCCAATTTTTTTTGGGTAGGGGTTTTAACTTTTTTGGATAGGGATTCCAACTTTTTTGGAGTGGATTTTTGGTTAGGGGTTCCAATTTTTTTAGTAGAAGTTCCAACTCTTGGGGCAGAGGTTCCAACTTTTTTGAGTAGGGATTCTAACTTTTTGGTGGGTTCTAACTTTTTTGGTTAGAGGTTCAACTTTTTTAAATAGGGGTTCCAACTTTTTGGTAGATGTTCCAACTCTTGGGGTGGGTTCTAACAGTTGGGGTAGAGTTTCAACTTTTTTTAGTAGGGGTTCGAACTTATTTGGGTTGAGGTTCCAACTCTTGGGGGCAAGAGCTCCAACTTTTTGGGCAAGATTTCCAACTTTTTGGGATATGTTTCAATTTTCTTGATTAGGGGTTTTAACTTTTTTGGATAGGGGTTCCAACTTTTCGGGTAAATGTTCCAACTCTTGAGAGGAGGGGTTCCAACTTTTTTGGGTAGAGGTTCCAACATTTTTAGAGTGGGTTCCAATGTTTTTGGTTAGGGGTTCCAACTTTTTAGGTAAGGTTCTAACTCTTAGAAGGGTTCCAACTTTTTGGGTTTAACGGTTGGAGGAGGGTATTTGTCAAGTCCTACTCTTTTTCATTACCGGTTTAGCAGGTAACTGGTATCCCACTTTTTAAACTAATCAATGGTTACAAAAATAAAAAAATTACGTCAATGACCCAAATGAAATGTCGGTAACGTACCGAAAATAAAAATTCGGTATTAAGGTTATGTGATAATTATTTTCATATATGGAATGATTACTAAACGACATCAAGCAGGGATAATTAAAATATATGAGATTTACTTGCTCATTTATTATATTCACTAAAAAGTGGTACCATGCGATGATAACGATGTTTTTCGATCAATTAAAATTGCCAAAATTTTTTTAAAAAAAGGCAAAGTGTGGGTCCCACAAAATTGTGATAAGTTCTTATGGCGTTATTACGTGGTGTCCCATAAACACCAAATATTTTCTCGAGATATATATTGAGATATATTACAAATTGTATACTTTGTTTGGGTCCGTAATTGCTTATTCACACGCAACTCGTAGTTTGAATCTATCAGTAAAACCACAGTCAACGACGTTTAAAATATGCAAGGCGGCTATGGTTTAATAACAAAACTTGAATGATTCCTTTCTGATAGACTTGTTTATTTCTTCGTCGTGGCTTCTATGCAAAGACTCTTTTGTTTTTATTTACAAACGAAAATGAAACTCCATGAACGTAATGAATGGTTTTTGTGAATATGGAGGTGTAGTTTAACTAGTAACATGGATGAATTGTAAATTTAGACGTCTTAAATTTGAATTTTAATAATTTCTTAAGATCAAGTCATGAGAGATTTATTTTTCATGAATATCCTAGTCTCGACATGAATAACTTGTCTTTTATCGGACTGAAAAAGAAATTAATTGAAGTGTGTATAAACTGACTTGAACATTCTTAACGGTTAAACCAAAAAAAAAAAAATGAATGGTTTTGTTTTTCTATTGCTAGTTATCTGTATGCTAATTAGTAAAATAAACGGAAAAATTATCAAAAAGCATGGGAGGAGCTAGTAAGGGGCTAGTGTGAACATGGGCTCACCCTCAATTTCTTTTTTTGAAAATTTGTTATATGTATGGATATACGCTCACTTTTATTTTATGAAAATGTGAGTTGTGATTAATCTATAATTATGTATTTGGTCGTTTTATAGTTTAGAGGCTTTCTTCAATTGACTTTGATTACATATTTATGAATTTTTTGTTTTTGGATTTATGTTGTTAATTTAAAGTAAAATTATTTGAAATTAGTCTACAATTAACCTTTATTTTTCTATGACTCGTTGTATGGTTTCTCTACAACATGTTCTTTCTATTTTTTTACAACTTACTCACTTTTGTCTGATAAATTAAAAACAAAGATTGATAGATTTCGATTGCATAAACGAATGGATATCAATAGATGATTGATAACTTAATTACATATATTAAAAAATATCTTTAATGGCATCAATAACGAAATTATCATTTTTTTTGTTTATTTTTCATTGACTTTTGGACCTTTTTTGTTCAATAAATTTTGTATGTATCAATATGATGTAATAAAATATAAATACTAATTTTTTTTATCGATTGGAAGAAGGAAAAAAAACTAAATCTTGTAGTTAAAGTGTTCACCCAAAAAAATAATTTTTGGCTCCGCCCTTGCCAATAAGTATCACTTTTCTTCACAAAATACTATGAAGTCCTATCGTTTTTTTATTTAGGACAATAAAGTCCTAATTTTAATAATTTATTTCAATGAAGTCCTAATTCTATTACATTCCAGATTTGTCCTTCGCTTTTAATTTCCAAATGCCTTTCATAACTCTTGATGCTTCCTTAGATTAAGATCATTCTTATCATTTTTGTGCTTTGGGGTTTTATGTAGTAAGTTAGATTGGAATTTAAAATGATTATATTAGGGTATACATGATGTTGCATCCAATAATGACAGTTTTAAAAATTGAAATAATTTGATGTTTCATAAAATTAGCAAAATAGGCAATATAAAATTCAGAACGCACCAAGTCGGATGTATGAAAAAAAAGAAGAAGACTATTGTTATTAAGTATTTCAAGAGAAGGGTAAAATTGAAACAGAATATAGTATTTATGAAATTTAGAATTTCATGGAAATAAATTATCAGACTTCATTATCCTAAATCAAAAATGGAATAACTTAAAGGTATTTTGTATGAAAAAAGTGATAATTATTGGTAATTTATGTTAAAAAAAAATAAAATTTCAGGCCATTAATGACGATAGAATTATAGGATCGAGATATTTTCAATTTCCCAATTTTAATTAAATTGAAGTGAATATAGTTAAATTAATTAGGCCTAGTGGTGGGTTTTCTCAAAGCAATACTATTTCAACTTAATTTACTAATCTAATGAACCATTGTTATTATATCGATTGGCCCCAATATTTTAAATAAATTTTAACATAACACAATTTAAGCACCATCCACTTTTTCTCATAATTGAGATTTGAGAGCACAGAATGTCAATTTGTTTGTCAATTTTACAATGCCAAACTAGTAAAACTCAGCTTGATTACAATGTCAATTTTAGTATTATATGTTAATTCATTTTAGTTATTAATTTTGAATTAAATAATTTATAATTATTAATTAAAAAATAAATTAAAATTTGATTTCAAAATAGTGATCGAAAGACTTGAAACTTATTTGAGACCAAAATGAATGAATCAAAATGCCAATGTTTTGAGGCATTTTTAAATGTTTTAGTGATTATTTTAGAATATTTTAAAATATTTTGAGATATTTTAATTTATATTTTTATAATATTTTAAAAATGAATTCTCTAATTTTATTTTCGAAATATTTTTAAAATATTCCTGTAGGTGACCGAAACAGTGCAAGAAGTTCAGATTATCTGAATCAAATTTGTCGTTTTTTGACTGCCAAACCAGATAGTATCGGGATGAGCAAAAACTACATCACCATCGTCATCCTCTTCGGTAGGCTCTGAAGTTATGGCTTTATTTTATGTTGACCTTCTCCTTCTATGCATCTAATTTGTGTTTCTTTTCTTTTCTATGATCTTTCTTTAGTGAACATTCAGCTAAAGCAAAGGAATTATGGCAACTGAATCCTCGGTTCCTCCCAACCCAACGGACCAGAAACCCCAAAACCCAGGTGTGATTTTCTCTGTAAAATCTTGGGTCTATACTGAAAATTTGATTTTCCAGTACTATTTGTTTGGTTTCTGAGAAAGCCAAGGAAAATCAAATAGTTCATTCAAATACTTTGGTAGGAAAGACCTTCATCAACCCCTCCGACTAGAAATTAATGATCCCAATAAGGTAACCAAAGGATTTTTTTTTTCTCTCCTTATCTCTGCTTAACCTCATGAAGAAATGCATTTTAGTTGCTCTTATGTAATTTATAAGCTAATTATAGTTCAAGGTTGAATTTAATTTGTTATGGTCTAGACTCTGGATTTGTTATCCACTTAACTCCTACATGTCTAGATAGTCTTCCCAATATATGTAAAAATTATTTCAATCTCACCACTGCATCAACTAGGCCATTGCTAGCTATATAGGAAACTTCTATGGGTTCTGTTATGCTGTTTCACTTGTATTTGCTTGGCATCACTCTTAGTGTCTAATACTATTGTTCAGCTACCTCTTTGATCCTATTTGTGTCTTTAGACTTAGTAGGAACACTGATTGAGAATAACTTTGATTTTCCTTTCCATGTTTTCCCATTTTAAGTTCATCTTGGTTTAGATTTGTTAATTGCAATTTCGTATACAGTACAAGGGTGTTGCTGTTGGTTAGACTGTGTATTTTATAGTTTGAACCCACTTCTGGAAACTTTTTACTTTGTAGCCTTGTGGCTCCTATTGTGATATGGTGTTGTAAATGAATTGAGGAAGATGTAGACAGTGTGGAATATGTTCATAAACACATATCGCGGTTACCTTTTTTTGTTGAAAACTTTAGACATCACTACTGCCATAATGGAGGATTAATTTCTTTTGTACCTACAGCTTCCGAGGTTGTACAGCCAACACTTGAGAATCAGCAAGATATGGCGGAGGCATCTAAAGAAAGTTCTCCACCATCTGTGTTTGTGAACTCAGAACCAATGCGAGAGGACCAAGTGCAAAATGCTGTAAAGTTCCTTTCACACCCGAGAGTTAGGGGATCTCCGGTCATATATAGACGATCCTTTCTTGAGAGGAAGGGCCTCACGAAGGAGGAGATAGATGAAGCCTTTCGCCGTGTGCCTGTAAGGAAGTTACCCTTTTTTGTCCCTCTCTCGTTGTATGAGACCCATCCATAGGATCATCCCAGGAAAAGATTTATTTATTCTTGCTGTTACTAATAGCTGTGAGGGTGTATGTGACAAATTGGGAACTGACATTTTGTGTAAATGGCAGGATCCGACCCCAACTATTTCCAATGCGCCGACAACTGTTACAAATCAAGGTAATAAACATTTGTATTGGTGTGGGTTTTCTGATTGAGTTAAAATGTCAACAAATTTTCGCTATTCCTCACACTAATCATGTACTATCTGCTTTGCAATATTGAATAAAGATTCGCATGCGAAGTCTTCAGCAAATATTAATCCACAGGCTCCAAGTCAAAGTCTGCAGCCTGCAGTAGTCACTCCGGCTGGTGTCATTTCTAAAGTAGGAACCTTTTCCAGATTCCACTGGTCCCATGCTCTTCTTGCTGTAGGAGTACTGGCTGCTTCAGGAGCTGGAGCAGCTGTACTTTTTAAGGTATTAATGGAGGGGCTCTATACGATTGTGTTATTTAGTCCCCTTATTTGTTTGGCCTGTGCCTTACCTTCTTACCTTCAATATGTTATGCTTTTGTTGGCACATATTGCATGCTTACGATTTTAAACACGAGTACCTAAATAGGCTAGGTTTTTTAATTACNATACTTCTCGTATAGGATCATGCATTCGGTGTAATATACAACAACACGTGTCCTCGGTCACCCATGTACCTCGGAAACATGCCACTCTCGGTCCCCGAGGTGGGCCTTTCCTCTGTGCCGAGAGTCACTCCGTCCTGGACGCTTCCTCCACTCCAGGATAAAGCTACTGACGTACGGACCATCAGCCTATGCCAGTCTAGACTATTCATCATGACTTCGTCTTACACAAGTAATGTCAGAACATACCGGAATACAGTAATCACAGCCAGTAAGGGATGGACGCGTGGCAAATGATGTCACATCAAAGACAGACAAACTGCACGCCGTTACTGACACATGGCTTGGGAAAGCAAACAATTAATTGCACCCTTCTGTTGACGAGACCGCATTCAATGCGGTAAGGTTCGGATATGAAAGGCAATAAATGCTCCTATCACAGAGCATTTATTGCATCCTTCCCGAAAGGAGCATATTGTACCGTCGGCGTCCCGATGACTCAACATTGATTGCTCGGGACCCCGAGCAGTCAATTAGAGAAGACATTCCTCATCAAATCGATACACACGCTACCTGTGCCTAATGATCACCTACTGACCACACTGACGGCAATCATGAGCTTTTAAGGTATAAATACTCCTCCCAAAAGGCAAAGCGGGTATGCAATCGAAAACTCTCTACTACAACACAGATTTTCTCAGTGTTTTCTCCTTCCTCTCTCTCACTCAAAGACTGACCAGACCGTCGGAGGGGATACGCCGGAAAACACTCCGGCGNTGATGGGACTCTTCTGAAAAAGTCCTAAGATGAAGACACGTGTCCTCGGGGTGTCTTGGAACAGTGTTGCTTGGATTTAAGCACCATCGGCAACAAGTGTCCTCCCCCCCGAGATACCTCTCGTATAGGATCATGCATTCGGTGTAATATACAACAACACGTGTCCTCGGTCACCCATGTACCTCGGAAACATGCCACTCTCGGTCCCCGAGGTGGGCCTTTCCTCTGTGCCGAGAGTCACTCCGTCCTGGACGCTTCCTCCACTCCAGGATAAAGCTACTGACGTACGGACCATCAGCCTATGCCAGTCTAGACTATTCATCATGACTTCGTCTTACACAAGTAATGTCAGAACATACCGGAATACAGTAATCACAGCCAGTAAGGGATGGACGCGTGGCAAATGATGTCACATCAAAGACAGACAAACTGCACGCCGTTACTGACACATGGCTTGGGAAAGCAAACAATTAATTGCACCCTTCTGTTGACGAGACCGCATTCAATGCGGTAAGGTTCGGATATGAAAGGCAATAAATGCTCCTATCACAGAGCATTTATTGCATCCTTCCCGAAAGGAGCATATTGTACCGTCGGCGTCCCGACAACTCACCATTGATTGCTCGGGACCCCGAGCAATCAATTAGAGAAGACATTCCTCATCAAATGAATACACACGCTACCTGTGCCTGATGATCACCTACTGACCACACTGACAGCAATCATGATCTTCTAAGGTATAAATACCCCTCCCAAAAGACAAAGCGGGTATGCAATCTCAAACTCTCAACTACGAAATATCCTTCTCAGTGTTTTCTCCTTCCTCTCTCTCATTCAAAGACTGACTAGACCGTCGGAGGGGATACGCCGGAAAACACTCCGGCGCCCTTCTAACTTGTTCTCCTTTGTTCCAGGAAATACCTTTCACACGTACAGGATCGTTCCTCCTTTCCCAGGATCACCCTTTGCCGTTTCCGGTTGCCACCGTACCTTGTAGGCTGTTTCAAGCAGCGTGTTTGGCTACTCAACCGGCTCACCCAAAGTTCACCAGGGGAGAGATCTGTTCCCAATATTTTATATATCGTGCAGGATCTAGCCCGCACAATCTGGCGCCGTCTGTGGGAAACGAGTAGTTTTCCTAATCTTTTCTCTATAAAGAACAGTGACCATGGTGAACACCAGACAGAAAGGGAAAGGACCCCACCAAAGGAGTCATGAGTTGCAAGCTCCCTGTCATCACGGAGGGAGGGATCGCACCAGTACGATTAAAAGTGCCTCTACTCGGTCAAGGGGGGTAACCCCTCAAACCAGTATGGGGATCAGGTCAGGAGGATCAGCCCCCTTGGCCCGTCAGCTGGCAGAGGTGATAGAAGAGAAATTTGGAGATAGATTACGTCAGCTGGAGAAGGACAATGTAAACGTCCTTAGCCGGCTCGACGAGTTTGCCGCCTCAGGCGGAGGGTCGAGGGATTCATTCCTTTCCCGAGGACTCCCCGTCCGTGAGGCGGAGACGAAGGATCTAAGAAACCACCTAGATCACAAAGCAGAGAGCTCCAGGGCCCCGAAGCGACCCAGGGCCGGCGAATGTCATCTTGACAACCATTCCAGGAAAGTGAGGCCGTTGGCCCTGGACGACCTCCGGCGAGGTTTGTCCAGACGGAGGAAGGGAGATGAATCCGAAGAGGACTCAACCCAATCTACACGACGCCCAGGAAACGAGGGGCTTACCGATGAACCCAGGGACTTCAGGAGGCATCCCGTAAGGGAAGAAGTAGATCTCAGAGCCCGATTAGACTCCAGAAGAAAGGGTAAGACTGTCCAGGACGAGGCCGAGGACGAAGTCATGCAAACACCCTTCACGAGGGAAATCAGTGAGATGGATGTCTCAAGAAAGTTCGTCGTGCCACGGTTCAA